TATTTTCTTGTATTTTTCTCCCTAGGAGTGTTTTTATTATAGAAAAATAAGTTTGAAAATAGATACAATTTAGTGATATTTCTGATTTTTTTTCTTCAAAAATATTTTTAAAAAGATAAACCAAAAAAAAAAAAGGCTTTCAGAAATAAATTGTGAAGTATTGGTTATTCTTGCAAATAAATTACATGTAGTTGAAAACTAAAAACGTGATAACAAAACACTTGCTTCATTGTCTGTGTATATGTATATACACTTTCAAGATTAACTCTGAAAGCATTACTCTGTACAAGTAATAATAGTCAGAATACAGTATTTCTTTTTGGCATAATGTATTCTTTTTGATACGGCATTTGCTGTGAACAATAAACATAGTACATACCAAAACAAACCCAACTTGTTATCCATACATAGAGAGTGAAATGTGTGCAGATAAATTTTGGCAAGTCAATAAACTCTGCTACAGTGTACTAATAAATACGTGTATAAATTTTATACTGTATTTTATTTTTTACACAATTAATTACCATTGAACATATACGAAGCATCGAACATATCCACAAAGAAATATCTGGAACGTTGTGACCACCACCAACATAAACTCTATTAAAATAAAGACCCTGTAAAGATTTCCTTATTTTTCAAATACTTATAAAGCTTCCCTACGGCCCTAGTGTATTCGTAGCTTCAAAACTTCTGTTCTAAAAATACCCGATATTGGACCAATTGAAACAAATTATAATTTACGCCCTCTCGTGACAGTTGAAACCTTCAGGGTGTGTATAAAAACTTAAATTATGGAATTCCTACTTGAAGCTACAGGGAGAAGAATTCTGCTCACGTATTGCATTCTCTTCTTAGAACTCTAATTTAGTAACAAACGTCTAGTCAATTAAGCAAATTTGCAAAATGTGGCTTAAAACGCGAGTTACTGGTATTTCTAACACGGAATTTTGTGAGCAAAAGTCTTTTCATTGTGATCATATTTCATACAATTTGCATCGGTATTTCATTTACAGGAAAAATTTCTTTTTTACAAACGCCCAATATTGACGGCATAGTTGTACTGTAAAATATTTTTATAATTAATAGACGTTATCTCTCGGTTCCCATCGGCATCGATGGAATGAAGCTCTTCAAATACCTACAGAAAGGATTATAAAAGAACTCTCTGTACTTGATCTTCATTAAAGTTGCAAAAACTTTCTTTGCAACCTCTTTCTTTTGGTTGAAGTTGAACAGTTCTTTAGATATAGCCAACTCTTTACGATGCGGTATGGTCTTGTGTTCCAATAATGGATCCTGGGATATAAACGAAACCATATTATAGGCTTGGACATTTCACACAGATTTTTTAAAATGATAATTATAAATAATAACGTTAAAGTCTGATAGATGAAAAAGCTGACTGGCTACTGCATTTCAGATCAATTTCGCGTAAAACAAAAGACCCCAGGAACAATGAAATATGAAGATAACGAACAGTAATCAAGCTCAAAAGTCCATTTAAACAATACAAATTTGGAGCAGTGCAAACACGGAACTCTAAAAATATTAGGGTGGGATCAGGTGCCATGGAGGAATAAGTATCCCCTGTTGATCGGTCACAACCGCCGTGTGTTCCTTGCCATGATCGGGCAAACAGGAAAATCCGTAGACAATTCAGTGTGAAAATAATGGCATAACAATTTTTATGAAAAACATCAGTCAAAATTTGACTTAATAATAGATTGTATTTGCTGACAAAGTTATTGTATCGAGCATAGAATTTGCGAAATGTTGACTTTAAATGAGACTTGATATTCTTGTTTCACCTTATTGGTCAATAGCTTGTGTCGTTTTAGAAGTTGTTCGTACATATAGCATGCTCTTGCGAAGCGAATCAACTGGAAGACATAAACTCATTATGCAGGTGATAATGCTACATAAATATGGGAAGTTGACGATTGAAAAGTTGAAGTCATCTTAAAAGACTTTCTTGTTAGGTTATCATCAACGTCCTTTTCTTGTAAAATACCCAATATGAAACAGATGTGTCAGACTCCGTTGTATCTTCAAAGGGATATACCGAATCAACGTAGGAATGAAAATAAATATTTTTAATTGATGAAACGTCGTCGATATATCTAAATGTTGAATTGAAGGCCACAGCAAGGCACTTCTTTTCATGTAGGAGTTTTGGAATAAATCCTGCTCCATATGAATACAAAAATAGATCTGCCAATAACCCATGGGAATTCCGACAGATTGTTGGAAAACTTGATCTCCAAAAAAACTGCATACATGTAGATATTGTCAATCAGAAACTCAAGCATCTTTTTAGTATCAACTTCGGAGTACGCCCGCGTGGCGCAGTGGTTAGAGCGTCTCTCTAGAGTCGCGGAGTAAGGAGTTGATCCTTACGTCGCGGGTTCGAATCCCACTGTGGGACGTGGAGACCGCTCCTTCGGATGAGACCGTATAAACCGAGGTCCCGTGTCGCAGTATGTGCTGGCACGAAAAAGATCCCTCGCTGCTCAATGGCCCTAAGTATCGAGTATAGGTCAAAATTTGCAGCTCTCAACCGGCAAGTGGTGGCGTCTCCATATGAGTGAAAAAATCTCAAGAGGGACGTTAAACAACAAACAAACAAACTTGTGACACAGTGTATACAATCAGAATGTTTTTTTAACTAAATACTTTTGCAAATGACCAATGACAAGGTAAGTAAATTCACAAGTTCCATTTTTTATTGAAAAAGCAGCTGTCTATGATTTCAAAAAACAGGACTTTAGTTTATCGTGGAGAATAGTTGTATAAAGTATTGAAAAGTTGTACGTTTTGATGTGGTTTATTTGTTATTTTTTTTTATTTAAAATTTTCTAAAAAGTTCTTTGGAGTTTTTAAGTATCCAATCTGATTTACACCACTTCTCGAATATATTGTTGTACAGTACTTCTGAAGTTTCTCCTTCACTGCTGTTAATATTTTAGTGAGGAGTAAAGAAAAAGGCTTGGTAAAACATTTATTGGAACCCGTTATGCATCTTTATTTGTAAGGATTTTTATGTAGTTTAGGAATCGAGTATAGGTATCGTAATTCAAATCCATTTTAATTGTTGGAAATATTGAAAATAAACTGACATATGATTTTGAAGAATCTCCTCCTTAGAAAGAGAACTATAAGTTGGATTACCAAGGTGTGCTCTTGCTGTTATAGAAATATATTATGACTACATACAGAAGCATTCAATTGTTTTTCTTTTTAAGAACAATGATACATTTAACAAATTAATAAGCCAAATGTATTGAAGACAAGTGACAATAATAATATTATTAAGATTTGTATAAATCAAGTTAATATGGTCAATATCAGGTTTAATAAACACAAATCTGCCGAGGAACAAGTCTATAAATATGAAACTGTACTAAACCTAGAAATATAACAAAAAACACTTTACAAGATTTTAAAAGTTATAATATGGGAAACTGGATATGAATTTGCAGTGGGGGTATGCTTGTGAGAGAAATTAAGTCTTAGGAAAGTTGTTCCTGTACGTGATTTGTTCTTTTGCTAGCTTAAAAAAGTTTACGAATCCTTAACTTTTTTGGCACCACTCTACCAAAAAATTGTAAGCAATCAAAATTTGATTTTGGATTCTAAGACAAGTTCCAATATTATTGCTCCAGTAAAGCAGTAATTATATTATGGTACCTATTATATATACGAGAACGATATTTAAAAGAAAACAATCGTCAGTTTAAAATATTTTTATATTTTACAAACTTACTAAAATCCAGAAGTCGGCAACATTGGTACGACGTAACTTAAATAAAATTATGAATCAATTAAAACCAATAAGCAAACCCTGGATTGTCAAAAATGAAGATGTTTGTACTACTTCAAAAATTCGTAATTCTTTTTCTTCAACAAACAACATTTTGTTCTGAAATTCTCTTTATTACATGTACGTTTTTTTTTTTTTTAAATTTGGTATCATAATTCTATTTATATGTACTAAACAAAGGCCCTATCATACATATCTAAATGAACTTAATAAACATTTTATCCCCTTATATCTCTTTTTACTATTTTTATGTACCTTTCTTGTGGTCGTCATTTTTTTTTTGCCCTTATACACCGTTTACAGCAATTTATTGTCCACGTTTAGAATTTTGCTATTGACTTTAGATAATTTTAACTTGGTTGCATTCATATAGCAAATTATGATACATATCTGTTTTTATTGCTGTTGCCTACTAAACAGTCCATGATATTTGTTCCAAAATCATTCATTGCATGCCACATACGATATGTTGCTCCCATGTTTGAAAACCTGTACATTATAGATTCATCGTATCTGTTTATTTCATTAATCAGCTGATTCCACTTCGTTGATCCTCTCAGTTAATTAATGTATAGGTTTGTTTTTCTTTCTTCCAATCTTTTTAATTCAAGATAGATGTTTACTATTGAGGCTTCTTTATTCATTAGTGGGCGAGGAACCTCTGTTATTGTAATTGACAGGAATTGAGCAGATACGTCTGTGTCAATAATTATATTTGCTACACAAAGGTAAATGTTAATTTGTTTTGCGTTCAGAAATATAATCGCTGTTAAACAGACTTTGGTCTAACAATTATGCCTTGAAAAATGCAAGTAAAATGACATGTTCATTATACGAGTACTATTCTTAAATCATAGGCGTCGGAAGCAAATTGAAAGTGGGGGGGGGGGGGGGGGGGCTAAACCAACGAAAAAAGGTAAGCCCCAATTTTCAATGCCTATATTATGTCTATCTTTGCAAAAAAGTGGGTTTTTTATTACATGTAGTTGTGTTTTTCACCCTTGATGACTGATATTTATTTCAAATTCTGATTTGACAAAACAGGTAGAGTAAAACAAAACATTTTCCTCTGGCCCTAGATTCCTTTCACCATTTCTGCAACCCTTAAAAATATTATTAAAAGTAAATTTATTTTCACATACATGTAGTATCCCTCAAATAAAACTTTCTTTTGCAGATGGTCATTCGGTATCCTCTTGTTTGAAATCGTCACGCTTGGTGGAACACCTTACCCGACGATTGACATGCGAGATTTGTTGTTAGAATTGAAGAATGGATACAGAATGGAAAGACCTGACAACTGTTCAGAGGAAATGTGAGTTTGAAATGCAAGATGACAAAATATGAAAATTGTCAAATTTAAATCTGTTAAAAAAAAAGACCCACAGCATCCAGCGAAAATTCAGAAGGGTTAAGGGCCTTGATAAATTTCTGAATTTCCCCCAGATCTGGTCAATTTTCATCAATGTACCAAACTTTCATTGTGGAAACATAAAGTTACTCTAGCCTCCTGGAGATTTTTACACAAGATGTTTACGATACGAGTGCAAGGAATCTGTAAAATTGATAGATAAAATTCCATGTGTTCTGTGTTTTCTGAACCAAATCGTACTTTAAAATTGATGTAAATTTAATCAAAATGTGGAAATTTAGAAATGAAAAAAAATTGCTGCCTTCCGGTGACCTTATGTATGCTTTCTGTTAAAAAATATTCATTTTGAGAAATAAAAAATCATAGAGTTTATTTTCAAACTGCAAAACTGTTCTTAGGCCACAAAGGACTCTTAACCTCCCTTGTTCTTTATGAAAATGATGCACAAAATATCACATAAAAAGACATTTACATCAGATTTTGATCGAACAGAAATTTGATCAAGAGAAAAAGTAGAAACAATAGTATTACATGTAATGATATCTTTGGTCAGAAAATTACATATATAGCACATAGAATTAAAAAAAATGATTCTATTTCTAAAAAAAGCTGCAGTTATGACAATTTGGTATCAACAGGTGCGCTTTACAGTAATGGCTAACAATTATTGTACAATGTGCTGACTGTTTTACTCTTCGTTAGTTTATGTACCAACTCTTCTTGATATTCCAAGACTAAAAAAGTAATTGTTCTGCAAGAATTTAGAAGCTGCTACATTTACTAGAGACTCAAACCTGTCCCTCACCGCTAGATCCCCAGGAAGTCTTTAAGCTAATTAACAATTTCATGGATTCAAAGTGACCTAGTTTTATTACTGAAATTGAAATAGTAATTATTTATAGTATTAAAGTACATGTCACAAACCAAGGGGCGATACCGCGATATGCCAATACTGGCTCCAAGTCTTAACAAAGTAATTTTACATGTGAACAGAGGGTCTGTTGAACACTAAAGAACAAAGAAAAATGCCATTATAATTAATTAATTGCATTTTGAGAATATTTATCACTTGCGTTATGATGTAAATCATTATGATATAATATGATAAATTCACTAGTGCTACGTGTATATTCCTAAGAAGCAGGCGAGTAATGTATTCAATTTATTTACGGTAAACAGTTTTTTAACATGGCACACAGAAAAATTTCCGGTTTAGCTCTAATCTCGAAGAACTTATATTTTGTATTTAAATCCACCTAGTAAATTCACATGAAAAAAAAACAACTATATATGACTGTTAAATATAATCATATGCGGTGAAGTTTATGGAAATAAACCGATTCCATGGACTAGAATTGCATACTACATGGATTCTTAACCACTGCACAGTCCATGTGATAAATTTCAACTCTTCGTTTAGATTCCCTTTGTCACAATAAAAAATTCAATTAACTGTATGAGTTGCATGTTTTTTTATTATTCTATCAATGTAACTCTATTTCAACTGAATAAGGAGTTAAAACAAATGATCATGCTTTTTTTGAACAAGTTGAAAGTAACTGACATTGATTGTATGTTTAGTATCGATGATATCACCTTTCTTTGCATGGAAAATGGGCCAAGCTTTGAAATTTGGCAGCTTTTTTGGCACATAATTCAAAAAGTCTTGACATCATCGTCACGTTTGAAAATCAGTTTTAATGTTTTGCAGACAGAGGTTCCTTGAAATTAGCAGCAAAGCGAATTAATTTCTTTTTTTTTTCAATAGTTGTAGCTCAAGTTCTCTAGACCTGAAAAGTACAAACGTACTTCTTTTTGCCTCTAACTTTTTGTAACCTTTAGAAAATCTGTGCTAACTTGAATACGATGCAGAAATCGACAGAAAATCTCTATGCATATATTATGCTGGGAATCATCTCCACAATAAGACATAAGAATTTGTTCCTTACCCAATTAAATATAGGATAATGTAGGGTCATCTATGTTTTATATTTTAAAATCGAAATTACTGTATATAGTTTGTATGAAAATTTCAGATTAGAAACAAATGTTTAACTCCTACTGGTATCGGAGAAGACTGTTTTTCACGCGCTTTAAGTTGAGTATAAGTGAGTTTTCGGAAAAAAACGAATACAATCTTAAAACAGAAATTGGAGCATAATATTTGAGACACACTCAGTTCTAGTGTTTATTTTATATATCTAAATTAAAGTATCATCATACAGTGAAGTAGCACATACAAAGTACCATCATAGAATGAAGAAATATATAATGAGGCGGGATCAGCAGTAGTACTTGTGCACAATGCTTTACAATCTCATAAAAGACTAACTATACTTTTGATCCGATTTCAATAGAACATGATAAAGAAATAGATTTCAAGTAATTCTCTTTATCAATTTTAATCTATGAACGGTATTAGCAAGGCTACTTAAGGATGGCGTTTACTCAGATGACAAAAAAGTTCCACTAATAGGAATGAAAAACCACCTATTGAACATTGTAGACCTATGGTGTAGTGTTATTATTCACTTTCAAATAAATAGATCAATTACCTACTTTTCATGCTAGTGGCTCCTGAGTATTTCTAGGAAAATACGTCAATTTTTTACACTATAATCAAAATTTTCTTTATCAATATATTAAGTAACAAACTGATTGCATAATGAAATATAAAGAAATTGGAAAAGTGTTGCTAAATATAGATAAACAATTATTAGAGTTAAAAAAACAAAACAAAAAACAACTAATTAATGTTACCAGTCCGAATATCCTCTCCGTCGATCTTCTAAATTCTACTCATTTTTAATCTAATATTGCAAAAACCTGAATGATAGGTACTCTATACAATTTATAGCCCCATATTCTGCTGGTATTAAAACTATATGAGGTCAATCATCAAATTCTTGAGATATGTTTTTGTTTATAATTTTGATAAATTTCATTACGTATCATTCAATTATTTTAAATGACAGTTGATCTTAAACACGCACAATATTTACAAAATGCTGTTAAAAACATATACAATCTTAACTTTCAGAATGATATGTTGTTTGTTTGTTTTGTTATTTGTAAAATAATGAAATATTCAAATTTAGTTCGAATTTCCTCAACATCACATTAAATTTATCTTTGTTTTTGCATATTTTCTTCAAATAGTAAAACATTAAAATTTGATATTGATATTAATTTGTAACTTGCATATTTTATCCAATTAGAACAATCCTTGATTTAAGATATCGTTCCTTATAGCTATCCGTTTCTGTCAACTAAAAATCTGAGTAAACGTCATCTTCATGTAGAAATTTCTGTAAAATTCTATTCATGTAAGGATTTCCTTCTAAGTTTTAATCTAATTTTTACTTGGGCTACAAAAATAATTTCACCAAAGTACATGTAATTCTCTTTACTGATTTTGGCTTTCGATGAACGGTGTTACCCTGGTTACTAAAAATAGGAATTTCTGTGATGTTCTTTCAAAACGCTACGCTACAGTTTTGGTCTGATTTTCTAGAGGTCTTAGTACACAAGTAGTCTATGCTAAGATACATCATTCTGCTCCATCGGTTTGGACTTCATGAAACGATGTGGCTATGAATACTACAAACAGAGATTTCCGTGAAATTCTTTCAAAACTCTTATCTTCCAATTGATTTTGTCATTAGAACTGGGGACAAAAGTACACTCAGAAAGATACTCTGTCCGTTTATCGGTTTTTGATTTCAATAAACAGCGTTGCCACGGTTATTGAAAATAGATTTATTTTTTCTTCAAAATGTTAGGCCTCCTACAGTTTTGGTTTGATTTCAATTAAACTGACTCCAGTTTACATCATTCTGTTTTTATCCCGAAAACTCCCAACATAAGTTAATTTGCCATACCAGACTGCTTTACCTACAAAAATGTCCTCAAAAGGATAATCACATTGTCTAACGCGAATACACGAGAAGGTCACCACGAACTTTAGTCTTCTTTTTCTTTTTAAATATTGGAAATTAACATTTCACTACTGAAAGGTGTAAATTTTGTGAATTGAATTTTATCTTTTTGTCTTTAGAGACGTCTTAATCAGCATTTACAAGAATAGAGAGAGAGAGAGAGATTTAGACATTTACTTTTATGATTTTCATACCGGATGACCCTACCTTTCCGGACTGAATTGTCTTCAGAAGCGATGCATACTTTTAAGATTGACTGTAGGCAAATGAGTATAGAAAGTTTCTTGAATGCAACAATAACACCGATTTCCTCGGCGATTTGTAACAAGCAAACCCAACACTTAAGGCACTGTCGACAATTTGTATGAATGAATGCAGTTTGAAAATTGTTGTCTCTTTCCCTATAATTAGTAGTCTCCAATTTTTGTCAAACAAAAGTCAATCGGAATCTTAAACAAATATTGATTCGTCGTTATTATTTTTACAGCACCCCTTATTTACATACCTCGATTGAGTTGATCCTCTGTGTAGTTGACTTTTAGAAAGGGGCGTGGCTGGTCAACATCTTACACGCGGTTTGAGTAGAGTGTTACATTCTCAGTTAATAGCTTTGCGTAACTTACAATGAAATATCTTTTAAGCGCGAGTTGTCTCACAAGTATCTTTTCATTAACGCTATATTCAGTTGATATAATAAAACACATATGTGAAGAACTCATATTTTTATTCCAAAAAAGGGCAAATTTAAACCTCAAATTATCTCGCAAGTTAGTGCATTTGTGAAAATCCTCACTCGAGCTCTAAATTTTCAAGGCAATTATTATGAAATTTTCACATTCAAACTAATAGTTAATTTGCTGACATTTTCTAAACATTATCAAACGTTTTCAAAGAAAAGGATTTTTTAATGAAGGATATAAAATCCTTATTAAGCGTTTCTCTCCTTTTAGTATGAAAGTGGTTCGAAATCATTTATGGGGAAAAATTGAAAATACAACATGTGTA